CCGCGGACGTCCCGGGTCTGGCGCGGCCGCAGCTGCCTGGGTTGTCCGGGGAATCTCGGGGGTTCAGGGTCTGGAAGTTGGCGATGAGCGCAGCCTCCCTGGTGAGGACTGACTGACTCCCTCCAAGCCCCATCACTCCGGCGGCCTCACGGTCTCACGGGCCAGCAGAGGGCGCCCCGGGCGGGGCAGGCCGTTCACTCCCCGCCCCTGCTGCTCTGCGAGGCGCTGGCCAGGACTTACGGGTGTAAGACAGGGAGAAGCGGGTGGAATTAAGATGGAAGGTGGCGAGGCTGACCCGGTTCACCGCGCCCCACAGCACCGAGCGGGTTCCCTCTTACGGAATAATTTATGCAAATCACCCTTTGTCCACGGCCGAGGCTGCCTCCGTCCCCGTCTCCCAGCCCAGCCCGGTTCGTCCCGGGTGGATGCAGATACTCGTGTCTGCCTCGTCCGTTGCCAGCGGGGAAGGGAGGCCCGGAGGTGGGAAGTGGGGTTCCCTTTTCTTGTCCCCATCACATCTGTCTCCAGAGGCCGAGCCCTCCTGACATGAGCCAGCCCTTTGTTAGAGTCGGCGCAGTGCCTTCTGGACAGCGATGTCCTGTTTTTCCATTCACCCTGCACGTTTCTTTTTGAACTTTCAGCTTTTATTGAAACCTGTTGAGTTACCAGTGGTTCTCAACCTTCTGGCCCTTTAAATACAGTTCCTCATGTTGTGACCCAACCATAAAATTATTTTCGTTGCTACTTCATAACTGTAATGTTGCTACTGTTATGAATCGTCATGTAAATATCTGATATGCAGGATGGTCTTAGGCGACCCCTGTGAAAGGGTCGTTCGACCGCCAAAGGGGTCGCGACCCACAGGTTGAGAACCGCTGAGACTCTCCTGCCTGCTCACCCGCAGCCCCACGGCCAGGTGCTCCGCTCCGCCCGGGAGCAGAGCCTGCTGACTGTCTGCTTCCCCAGATCCGGACCCTGGGGTACTGCTGCCAGCTGGTCGGCGGGGTCTTGGTGGAACAAGGTCCGGCCAGGGCGGACGTGGGGGCGCGCCTGCTGGCAGTGTCCTCCCAGCTCAGCGGCTGTAGGACCATCCTTCGACTCTTCGATGACGCGGCCATGTTTGTGTACACGAAGCAGTATGGCCTGGGGGCAGAGGTAAGGGGTGCAGCCCGAAGGGACTTGTCTAAAGGCAACTGTGCAGCAGAGTCCTGCAGGCCCATGGCCTGAGGCGCGTCCCTATATGAGTTGGGGCAGGTGGCAGCTCACCCTAAGCACCTCAGTTTGCCTGTCAGGATGGTGACTACCCCTCTGGTTTGGGAGAGGGACCTGTCCTGCAGCCTGGAGTTACCACCCCACCCAGCTCTGCCCCACCAGCTTCTCTGAGGACTGCCTGCCTGCTTCCCTCTCAGGGTCCTGTGCAGGGGTCGGGCCTGGAGACCCCTGGCCAGGACCTGGGAGCCTGTGGCAGGGCAGGAAGGCTGCGAGGCAGAGGTCCCGAGTCATGGCTTTTCATGGCCTGGGCCGGGCCCCTAATATGGGCAGTGGGTGTGTCGGCCCCAGGCCCAGCTCCCTCTCCTGGTCCTGCAGGAGGAGGACATCTTGGTCCGCTGTGTGTCTGTCCTGGGCAACCTGGCCGACCAGCTGTACTACCCCTGCGAGCACATCGCCTGGGCTGCTGATGCCAAGATCCTCCACGTGGACTCCGCCCGGTGGTGGGTGCTGAGCACGGCCTTCTGGGGGCTCTCGCTGCTCCTGGGGATTGTCAGGTAGGCGTGGCCGCTGCTCCCACGGGCTGGAGGGAGGGAGCGCTCATCGCTGGTGCGGTTGGCAGACAGGCGGGAGCTGTGTGGTCTTGGCCGCCCTGCTATTCCTGTTGTTGCCACCTCACTGTGTGCACCCGACCACAGCACACAGACGTGGCTTTGAACAACACGTGCTGATTGTCTTAGAGTTCCGGAGGTCAGAAGCCCAACATGGTCTCACTGGGCTAACCTCAGGCTGTGGGCAGGGCTGTGGTCCTCTGGAGGCTCCAGGGAGAGTGTTCCCGCCTTCTCCAGTTTCTACAATTCCTTCCTGCATTCCTTAGCTCCGGGCCCTTCTTCCGTCTTTGAAGCACATCCCTCCAGCCTCTGCTTCTGTGGTTGCGTCACCTCCTCTGACTCCGACCCTCTCGCCTCCCTCTTCTGAGGTCCCTGGTGTTGGCATTGGGCCCGCCTGGATAATCTCCCAGCTCAAGACCCTTCACTCAGTCCCATCTGCAAAGTTCTTTTTGCCGCATAAGGGAACACACTCATGGATCCTGGGGATTAGGACGTGGGCATCCTTGGGGGCCATGATTGTGCCCACTGGGCTCAGGAAGAATAACTTGTGGCCTGGAGAGGAGTGGCCTGCGTGGCTGCCTTCACCGGGCCCGAGTCCTGCTCGCATCGCCATCAGCAAACAGCCCCAGGTGACATAGCCAGGAGTTTCCTGCTGGCTCTGTGCTTCCAAAACCGTAAGGTTCCTAGAACTTTAAAATAATGGTTTCCTCCCAAACATTTTCTTCTCTGCACATTGCTGAGCGGGTTTGTTCAGTCCCTTGGCCCAGAAAACACAGGGCGTGAAGGGCCTCCGTGGCAGAATTTCATGCAGCAACAGTCTCTTGGATCCCCGAAGGGAGGCCGCCGACCCCTGACCTCGAGGGCTTGGGGGAGGTGGGCGTGTCACTTGCCCTGGGCTAATGGTTTCCTCCCAAACATTTTCTTCTCTGCACATTGCTGAGCGGGTTTGTTCAGTCCCTTGGCCCAGAAAACACAGGGCGTGAAGGGCCTCCGTGGCAGAATTTCATGCAGCAACAGTCTCTTGGATCCCCGAAGGGAGGCCGCCGACCCCTGACCTCGAGGGCTTGGGGGAGGTGGGCGTGTCACTCGCCCTGGGCCCTGCCATCCAATAGCCCTTGTTCTCCCCTTACAGATGCTCTAGTTGCACGTTCATCTGTCTGGAAAACGAACGAACCCAAAGTGGAAGATTCCAATCACCCACAGGCCAGAGGGGACCCAGAGATCCCGCTGTTTAGACTCTGATGACTCTTCTATCCTTTGACCTCACACTCTGTGGACACATTTTCCTTGCTCTGATCTCGTTACACGGACGGGGCTGTCTTGATAATGAGCTCTCCTCACGTTCACGGTCACTGTCTGTGACCTTCCCGTGGGCTTGGGGGCCCCAACAGGGGCCTGGGCTCTGGATACTCCCGAGGCTGCGGCTCCCAGGGGCCTGGTGACCTCTGCGCTGAGATCCACCATTCCTGTTTTAGGGGTGCCTCGATTCCATTCATTTTAAAAAACAGACTATATTTTAGAGCTGTTTTAGGTTCACAGCAAAATTGAGCTGAACGTAGAGTTCCCATTTCCCACCTGCCCCACACAGCCTCCCAGCCAACGTGGCGTGAGAGAGGGACATTCGTTGCAGTCGATGAACCTGCACCGACATGCCATCCTCACCCCGGCGTGGTCCACACTAGGGTCACCCGCTGCACAGTCCCTGGGTCTGATGAGCTGTAACCCGACATCCACCATCACAGCATCACACAGCGCGGTTTCCCAGTCCTGACACCCGTGCTCTGCCTGGTGCCACTCGTGTTTGGAGCATGTTGTTTTCCCATGATTGTCCGTATTTGGTGTTAGCAAGGGTGTGGAGTCGGGGAGCGTGTGTGCTCGTCATGACCAGGTGTCCTTAAGACCCCAGGATGCTGCAGAGTCACCTGGAAGGTTGGAATGAGATGCCTGGGGCCAGGTGCCCAGAGGTTGATTCCACTGGTCTAGGGACCCAGCACCGAGGACTTGGTTTTGCCTTAGTTCCCCACTTACCTCACTGCAGGTGTGGCCCTGCGTCCCATACTCTCTGGATGGGCACACAGGGGCTGGGAGATGTGACCAGGACCCGGACCTCCCAATCGTGAAGTCTGGCTGGGTCAGCCCTCCCACGGGCAGGACTCAGCCACCTGCACTTACCCGGCCGCCCCCAGCCCAGGGAGCAGGGCCAGGTGGGCAGTCGGGGCAGGCGCTCTGCAGGCCTGAGAGCCCTGGGGGAGCACCAGGGCTGCCTGCGGCTGGCTGCTCCCTCAGCCTGCAGGTGCCGGCCCTCAGAGCCCAGAAAGTTGTCAGGACCACCTCCCACCGGCTGGTCGGAGCCACTACGGCAGAGCTCGGCACCGTTAGGGTAACCTGTGGCCGAGCGGCGGGTGGCAGAGCCTCCCCAGGGCCTGCTTTGGGGATTGAACCCCTGCATCCACCCTGCTCCTCTTGCCCTCTGGCTGGGCCCCTCATCCTCTCTGGTGTTGCAGGTCCCTGTGGGTGGTCCTGAAGCTGAGACAGCAGCTGAGGAGCCCTGCAGCGGCCGTCACCAGGTATTTCCTGGGGAGAAAGGCCACCTTCCCTCTCACAGGTCCCAGGAGTTTCCCCAGCCCCGGGGGGTGCTCTGAGTTGCCAGCATTATCAGCCCTGTCCCTGCACAAGGCCCATGGGGGGGGGGGGGCTGGGTCACCAGGCTCACCACAGCCTCCAGGTGACGGTAGCATCTCACTTGTGGGGACAGTGAGGCTTGCTCGAGGCCCCACAGGCAGGACACAGCAGCCAGGACTCGGGCTGAGTCCTCACGCGGCACCCACAGAGCAGGACTGGGGGACCAGGGCACTGTCCCTTTCTCCTGGGAAGCGCTGTGCCTGGCGTAGGCCTGGGACCTGCCCCGGGGCCACTCCTGCCCCATCCCTGATTGGGTCCCGGGGTCAGGACTGAGATGTGGATTTGAGACTTTCCACACAGGTCTGTGCCCTGGTCACGTGGGTCCCTCTGGGGGTGACAGGACTCCTCCTTGCTCACAAACAGGGTCTGTGGTCACTCCCCTCCCTGCCCGTCCGGGCCAGCACGGGCACCCCTGGGCCTGCCCTGAACGACTCCTCTTTGACCCCACAGCCAGCGGTCCCGGAGCACGCGGGGGGCCATGGAGGCCCGGATCCAGTCGGAGCTCATGACTCTCCTGAGCAACCTGGCCGACCTGGCCAACGCCGTACACTGGCTGCCCCCAGGTTTCCTGTGGGCAGGCCGCTTCCCTCCGTGGCTGGTGGGCCTCCTGGGCACCATCTCCTCCCTCCTCAGCGTGTTCCAGGCAGCCCGGGCCAGCGGCTGGGCTGACAAGGCCGCCTCCTGACCGGCCGGAACCTGCTGAAGGGCCTTCCACAGACAGAAACCACCGGGCAGGCAGCTGGGTCTCCGAGCAAACCAAGGCCAGATGCGGGAGCTGCAACCCAGAGAACACAGGGCGTGACCTGGGGCACAAGCTCAGTGAGGCAGGATGTGGGTGGGCTGAGGTCCCCGGGTGCTGGGGGTCTGGGCCCTTCCACCCAGGGCCCTTCCCCCCCGCCCCCCACTTGGAGGAGGTGTCTCTCAGGGCCAGAGCAGAGGACCCGGGACTCCCATGTAGACGAAAAGGCCACAGCGGCCTAAGCAGAGCCTCACTCCCGTCCCTGGCATCCTGTATCCAGGTAGGCAGGCCAGGATGGTACGCGCCAAACGGGCCTTAGGAAAGCTGACATGAGAATCAATTAAAACTGTGGTGCTGGTGCGAGGCCCAGGGTGAGTCCTTTTTCCTAAACTCACCAGCTCCTTGCCCCTCCCGTCCGCAGGCCCGCTCATTGCACGCCCTCTCCCTGCACCTTAGTTCAGGGAGGGCATGCGGTGCCACCTCTGGACGTGACGGCCCATGTGCCTGGGTGGCTTCTCAGGGGACAGAGCTGCAGTGGGAGGCCACACCTCCCATGACCCTTTCTGGAACCTCTTTGGCCGGTGGTCCTATTCGGTGAAGGCTGCTGGGGCCGTGCCCACATCACATCCTTTCCTCCTGATCATCGTGAGGTGCTTGTGGTCGAAGCAGCTGACACTCAGCCACAGCTCGGACCAGGGCCATCATCCCTTCAGGCCCGTCTGCACATCTCCTAGGTTCCTCCCGGGGCCGGCCAGTGTCTAAAGATGCTGTGGCTCTGTCTCCCACCTCATGGAGGCGTGGCAGGACGGGTGCGTTTGTTTTCAGTCTGACATCTGAGGCCGGAAGTGCGTGCGTGCGTGTGCGTGCGTGTGCGTGTGGCATTGGTAGATGATGCCCAGCCTGCGCCTGCACCTGCTGGGCGATCTCCATGTGTCCCTGGACCCTCCACCTTAGTCCCAGCGGGAAGAAGGGAATCAGGCTCTGCCTTACGTCCCCAAAGTGCCTGGAAGACTCAACAAGACCTGTGCCTGCAGTCTGAAGCCTCATGACTTCAGCCAGATTGCTCTTTTCAGGGAAGATAAGAGGCTGGGAACAGCTGGGATGGAGGGCTGCTCGGGGTAACATGGGTGCAGAAGAAGCCCCACCCTACACTGGCTCAGTCTCCCCCTCCCTATTGCAAAGCCGAGCGCTGGCATGTCCCAGCGCCCGAGGAACCAGCGAGACGGGTGGGGTCAGAGCAGCACCGCCTGCCCGTCTGGAGACTCGGGGCATACATGTCAGTGCTGCACGAGTGGGCGAGCCACGTGGACACCTGGCTGCCACATCAGGCCCCAGGGCTCTGGCTGCTGGTCAGCCTGGGGCCACCGCCGGCCAGGCCCAGGCGCACTGCTGGGCAGCTGAGGTGACCCTGCCTGCAGAGTGGCCGCACCCCTGCCCACTGCTAGGTCCTTGGTCGGGGGTAAGGCGTCACTGGTCCTGGGAGCATGTCTGTGGCAAACGGCTCAGGGAGCAGGGGGCCGTCACCCCAGGGCCACAGGGACAGGCTAGCCAGGGTGGGAGGGCGTGGTGGCATTCCCCAAACGCTGACCTGGATTGGGTTCACTCTGGGCCTTCTGTCTCTACCTCTGACTGTCCAAACAGGATCGTGCGGGGACTTCTCAGAGGAACAGAGCAGGCTCCGCTCCCCACAGGCGTGGCGTACAGGCAGCTGGTCAGGCTGGTCCTGAGGCTGCCTCCCTGCCCCAGCTACAGGGCAGGAGTGGGGACAGCAGCCGAGGGGGCTACTAGGGTGTCGTGGGCCCACTGGGAGGTGGGACATCAGACTGGTTCTCAGGCTCCTGCAAGGCCCTGGGTCTGGTCAGGCCTCCCTCCAGTCCTCCTGCAGCACCTGGCGTGCGGCCCCGCTGGCGAGGTGAGCCTGGGGGAGCCCCACCAAGAGACGACCCTGCCGCACAGTGAAGGACAGCCGCGCCGCCAGTTCGTCTTCAGACACCTTTATTGCTAGAATCAGGCTTGAGCGCTAAGGCAGTTCTGAAACATCCCGCATGAGGACATGCTGCGATCATAGCATCACTGGGTGGACCGAGATCATGTCAAAGTTACCAAAGATGTACCCAGATCCCGCAGGAGTAACACTGCTCAGCCGCCAACTTTACAAATAAAACCGGGCCCTACCCAGGAGTCACCGCAGGCTACTGGCCAGAGAACGTGCCGAAGACCTGCCCGCTGCACGGCCTGAGTGGAGACCCCACCACATGCCGAGGAGAAGCCTTGGACGTCTCTTTCGAGGACCTGTGTGCCTGAGGCCCAGGAATGCACTCGTCACAAAAGGACAGGAAGTAAAGGAGAATTCTCTAAAGTGCTCTGATTCGTCTCAGTACAAAAACACAAAACACTGACTACAGATCCAGCACAGACGGGCTCTCGTGTCCGGGGGACGGAGGATACGTCTCTTTGGTCCTTGCTGATGCTGCTGGTCCCGTAGGCAGAGTTGAGGGTCAGGGCCAGCGGGGGCTGGGGCCGGAGTGGTTCTGAACGGCTGCTGTCAGCTCGTCACTCACTGGCTGTGTCACCTTGACCCTGTGGTGCCCCAACTCCTGGACAGCCCAGGACCCATCCTGCCAACGCTTTGGGAGGTGCTGGGCTCTGGGCCGGTGGAGGGAGCCTGGGATGCAGAAAAGTGAGTCATGCCCCCTTCCTGCACCAGCACCCGAGCTTGTGTTTGGCCAGAGGTGGGACGTGGCTCTGGCTCAGCCACCACCCTGACGTGACACCACCCAACACCCACAGCCTTGCGAGTGGACTGGTGGCCCTTGCCCTCTTCCAGGGATAAGGGGACAGCCCGCGACAGCAGCTCACTGGATGTGTGGGCCTGTGAGGTGGCCACCTGCCCACTGGAGGTCTCCAGGCCACATGTGCTCCCAGCGTGTCACCTTCACTGGCAGCGCCACCGCTCTGCTCTGTGCTGTATCTGCATCAGCCCATCAGCACCGGAGACCAGCCCTGGGACTTCCTCTTGGAGGCCCTGGGAAAACCAGCTCATCTCCTGGGGACCGAGGGCCCCCTGCTGGGGGCCGGGACTTTGGGGCCTGCTGGCCTGGCCAAACCTCTTGATTTGGCTTCCCCAGGCCGAGCACCTGGAGAGCCACGTGGACTCGGTGAGGTGCCTGGGGAAGCACGGAGATCGACTACAGCAGGTTTTAAAAAACCCACTAAATTAACACGGGTTCCAGTCAGACCCCTTCGAGATGAGTTCTGCCCTAAAGAACTCACTTGAGTACAACTGGCCATCCTTTCCAGCCACTCTGCCCTGGGGGCCCTCTGTCCCTGGGCTGTGTACGCCCTCGTCTTGCCTGTACCCTCGCCTTGAGGCTCACCATGAACCCATGTACATCTCGGCTTTGATTCTGCCAAGGGAGACAGCTGACACTACCCTGGCCCTTCCGCTGCCCTAATGACCAGTCCAGCTCCAGTGTCTCCTAACGGCTGTGGGGTGGCCCCTCCTCCACAGACCGAGGTCTGGCCCGTCGTCAGGCTCCGTGTGGGACCCCCAGTCTGTCACTACCTTGGAAAAACTGCTTGGAGTGGGTCTCTCCCTACCCAAGCGGGGGCTGCCATTAAAATAGCTCCTCAGTTAGCTTAGGTTCAGCCTTCGATTAAAAATGTCCCTTTTTGTATAAAAAAAGGCACCACTGATGATCAATCCCACAGCAAGAGCCTGGAAACGACAGGCGGGCCCGACCCCGACCCCAAGCCTGGCCAGGGGGTCATCCATGGTGGTGTGCTGGGCAGGGGGAGGGCAGCCGGCGAGTCCCAGAGAGCACAGCACCTCAAGCTGCTGGCCCTAGAAGAAGATGACGTCTTCTTTGCTCGCTTCTTCCTTGTCGAGTGGGGTAAGGGGCCCCGGCATGGGCAGGAAGGGGGGACACTCGGGGGACGTGTCCTCCACGGCTGGGCTGGGCGCCTGGCAGGAGAGGTCTGGAAGACAGAGGATGGCGGTGTCGGCAGCCACCAGGCACTGCGGAGGCCCTGTGCCTGGGTGGCTGGGCTCACCTTGGGGGGATGCGGAGCGGTGGCTGCTGCGCCGGACGGGACTCAGTGAGCTGTGGCTCCGAGAGACATACTCCTCCTTGCCCGTGAGTTTGCTGAAAAGCTGCTGCTGCTGCTTCAGGTCGAACGAAGCTGACAGAGGGAAGAGGGTGCAGCCTGGGTGCTCAGCCCGGCTCCCGCACATGGCAGCCCCCACCCCTGCTCCTGAGCACTTCCCAGGACACTGTTCCAGGGGGACCCCGCTCAGACAGTAAGCCCCAAATGCAGTGACACAAAACGGGGAGAACAGCCCCCAGCCGACCCCAGGAAGCCCCTAGAATAAGCCAACCTCTGGACCCAGTCCTGGGACACAGGCCCTGCTCTGTAGGTCCCAGGAGGGCTCCCTGACCGCACCTGTACACTCACAGCACCCGAGGGAGCCCCGAAGCTGTGTCAGAGACCCCTGGCATCGTCACCGGTGTCCCTGAGTGACTAGGGTGCTCTGACTGCTGGCCTCTGGCGCCACCGCACAAGGCCCCCCAGGCCCTTCTTTTTGAACTGCCAAGACACGCCCTTCCTGGTCCAGTTTGAGGACTGAGGTGAACGGACCTGGGGTCTGCCAGGCCCATGTTGCTTCCAGAGGATAAACCTCCCCACGGGCGGGGGATGTGATGTGATGCATGGCCAGCTGCATCTCCACCGGAGGATGGCCCTGGTCCTGTGGTTCGCCCACAAGGAGGGGCTTTGGTGTCACTAATTGCTCCTGACTGGATCTCCTAGTCCAGGAGGGGCTGGGCCGGCACTGGAGGCCACCGGCTCCCAGAGATCACCTATTCCACCCGCCACACCCTGCCTCAGGCACAGAACTCACCTGAACTCTCACTGCGCTGGGAGCCCCTGCTCTTGCTGCCCTTGTCCTTGCCGCCCTTGGTGAAGGCAGCCAGCTTGGTGGGGATCTGCTGCTGCACGGCCGCCTGCCTCTGGATCTGGTTGGTGGTGCTCAGCAGCTGGATAGGCACGTCGCTCCTGGCCGGCCGGCTCTCGGCTGGGGTGCTGTCCCGGCGAGCCACCTCGGGGCGCTCAGGGCCTTCCAGCCCCTCCCCGTTGAAGCTGGGGGCGTGGCTTGGGGGCTGGGCCTGAAAGAGGGACAGAAGACACATCCCAAAGATCCTCCTCAGGGAAGCCCTTCCTGGGACGAAAGGGGAGGTGCTCTCCTCAGCACCGCCCACTCCCAGGGCTTTGGGGAGAACCTTGTCCACCCACCCAGAACCTGGGCCCGCAGCTTGCAGCCTCTTAGCTGGGCCGGATGGAGCTGCCATTCACTGCCTGTCCCCTAAACACACACACACACACACACACACACACACGGAGCTCGCAGCCCCAACACGGGCACTTGCATGGTGACACTCACACATGTCCTTGTCCCCTGGCGTGTTCACGCATGCGCTGCCGCAATGCACCCACACCGGCGGCTGCACGCTCCCTCGCTCACCTCTGTGGGCAGCTCAGGTGGCAGCGCCCTGGGCACTGTGTTCTGCTTCTTGAGCCTCTGCAGCAGCTCTAGCTGCTCGCGCTCGCGCTGCACGAGGCGCTGGGCCTCCCGAAGCCGTTCCAGGTCGTGCTGGTAGGCCTGGCGCTGCTGCTCCAGCTCAGCGCGCTCCTGGGCCTGCTGCTCCTGCAGCCGCGCTGCCTCGCTCTGGCGCTGCTGTAGGTGGGCCAAGGCCAGGTCCAGCTCCTGCTGCTGCTGCTCCCGTTGGCGCTCCCAGCGCTGCTGCTCCAGCCGCAGCTGGCTCTGCAGCTTCTGCACGCCCGCCAGCTCCTCTCGCTGCTTCTCGAAGTTGCGCTGCCGCTCCTGCTCCAGCAGCAGGTTCCCGCGTGTCGACTGCAGCCGGAACTGCTTCTCGCGCTCCTGGATGGAGGCCCTCTGCATCTCCACGTAGCTGTCCTGCTGGGTGATGACCGCCTGGGGGAAGTGGACTCATGAGGTGCTGGCCCTGCCCTCTCCCAGATCCCCGCCGCAAGCAGGAAAACGGCAGTGCAGCCTGTCCCAGCCCACCACGCCCTGTACCTGGAGGCTCAGGAGCAGCTGGGACAGTGTCTGGATTCGCTGGACAAGCTGTGGAGAGACAGAGTGCTGGCTTTCTGCCCAAAGCCCTCCTGGTGTGCATGCCAGTCCCCGGGAGATGGACAAGCCTGAGCCTACCTCCAACTCCAGGACAGTGGGCAGACGGGGGCCAGACTCAGTGCCTGGTGCCTCCACCTGTGGAAACACAATGTCAGAGCACACAGCTGCTGAGGAAGCAAGCCAGACTCACAGTGCTGACGAGACTGCCTTAGCACGGGTAGGCCTTGCCTCACTGCCTGGACAGTGAGGGCGCAGGGTGGCTCCAGGAGGCGGGAGGCAGCTGGCATGGGCCGGGCCACGGCACACCGCCCGGCCCTGCTCTCACCCCGACGCTTGGCAAGGGTGGGTGTTCGAGTTGAAGGGGAGGGAGCAGCCAGCATGACTGGCATCCGTGGCTGTGAGGACACCGAAAGCTCATGGCCCCGCACGGTGTTCCTCACCTGTGGGGAGGCCATGGCTGCCGCCCTGAGCCTGCCCCTCCCGGCCACCCACATGCCGGGCCGGCAGGAAGAGACAGGCTCACTAGCTGGCTCGCTGACCTGAGCTGAGACAGGCTACTCACCATGAAGCGAACAGCACATGCCACTGGCTGTGAGATGGAGGCTGAGCAGTCTGCTCACACTTGCTGGCAGTTACAAGAACTGGGCCGGCTCTGTCCTGAGCTCAGGCCTGGCCCGAGGAAGCAACGTACCGCCCATGGTGCTTCCTCAGAGGCGCCTGGGGTGTCGCCGAGCTTCGCATCTGGACTGCTCACAGGGTCTTGCCAGTCTCCTGGGCTGAGGTCACTGCCGCATACCTTCTTCCTACAACTGTCACCTAAAAGCCCAGGCCAGGCCCATGAGGATGCTTGGGGTTACCCAGGGTCTAGACCCCCCTCTCCCCCAGCCCGAGCCCAGGCAGGAAATGGTGGCTGGGCTGCTGCCTTAGGCCTGTGCCGAAACGCGGCATCTGTGGCGCAGAGATTGGCAGGAGCAGGCCCGGCTGCTGTCAGACATGACCAACAACACTCAGACGGTCCCTGACCATAGAGGGTTTACGGACGCCGACAGGAAGTAGCAGCAGAGACGCCAAACAGCAGATGCCGGCTTTGCCAAGGCCGTGAGCAAAGGGAACATCTGAGGAGCCTGAACCTGCTGCCGCTACTGGCCTTCCTTCCCAAGGGTCCCGGGGCCCAGCCCTTGGGGGAGGAGGCACCACTCACTCTTGCCAGGGTCGCTGGTGCTGTCGGAGCCTCCAAAGGCCTCTGCCCTCTGGTGCAGGCCCGCAGAGGCACCCCCATCTGCCTGGCCACTGGTGCCGCCCAGCCGCCTGCAGATGAGGCTCTGGATGTCTGCAACTGTGGAAGGAGACGGGCGGGATGCAGTCTCTCTGTGCAGTCACACTGTGTGCGTCAGGTGTGGTGCAGGGCCAGGGCAGAGGACGGTGGGGACCAGCCCCGCTGACCCTGTGCACTCCCTGCACAGGCGCTCTGCCCAGGTCAGGCCTCTCTGTGTTTAAAGGAGAGACCAGCCCCGTGGGGCAGCATGTGGACGGGGCATCCTGGACCCTGGGCCTGAGGGTGTGCTGGGTCCAGTAAGGAACTGTGTGGCCACTGCTTGTGTGGTGACAGTCATCCAGAATGTTAGCGGTCATGGAGGGAGGACTTGGGGACAGCGCTGGTCACACAAAGTGCTCTAGGACAAACAGGCTTTGGCCAGGTGAGGCGGTTGGCCGAAGCCCAGGACATAAGAGGCCTCAGGGGGCCAAGAACAACAGCCATGGAGAAACGGGAGGAACACTGCTACGGCCGCGGAAGCCAGACTGAATGGGGGCAGAGTCCACGTGGGAGCGCTCTGCTCTGTTACCTTCACTGTGAAGGGGAGGGGATGTGTCTGCCTTGTTTGCTGCTGAAAGAGGGTGAGTGAGCACCGGCTGCCTGGCCTGACGTGGGGGCTCAGGAGCTGCATGGAAGCTGCCTGGGCTCTGGCATGGACCCTGACTGCTCCGTGAAGCAGGCCTGGCAGGACGCGCACGGGGCAGGCCACCTACCGGCCAGCGCCCTCCCGTGGCTGCTGGTGATCTTCCCACCAGACCCTGGGCCAGCTCCCAGGAGGGCTGCTGGGTCCAGGAGCCCTTGGAAAGGACCATCACTGTGTACGTGTGCATGTTTCCGGATATAACACCATGACCCACTACTCGGAAAGGAGAGTCACCTCTTGAATGTGGGGACTCGTCTCGGTCGGCTTCAGATCCCTGGGGCCCAGAACAGTGCCTGGCAGGTGGCAGGCACCGGGAGTGTCAAATGTGCGAGAAAGTGCTCTAAGTCCGCGACCAGGGGCTGCACTGGGTCTCGTCTAACGACCCTCTGGCTCTAACAGGTGCTGGGGAGGGTGCCCAGCTGCCCAGCCAGACAGAAGTGTGCCCCGGAGAGGGCGAGTTGGCCACACTGGGCCAAGGAACTACCGGGAAGAAGGGTGCTGGAGAGGGAGGCGCTGTCCCGTGAGGACCTTGGGGCCAGGCTACTTACTCTCGGTCATGGCTGACTTGAGGATCCATTCGCCCTGCAGGTTCTCTGCGAGGTCCCCTCCGCGGAAGAGGAGGCGCGGCTGAGCCGAGTCGTCCAGGCCACTCATCTCGGCCATCTCCACGAAGATCTGCTGCTTCTCTCGCAGGCTCTGTGCGATCTGCTGGTCCTTCAGGCTCAGTCGTTCTGCGAAGCCACGGAGGTGGCGGTCAGGCTCTCTAGGATCGTTCCCCAGGAGTCGGCACAGAGTGGGGCTGGCCTCCGGGGACCCCTGCTGATCCACCTCACCCCGAGGTCCGCTGCTCCCTCCATCCAACCTTCGTGAGGCTGTGAGGGACTGGCCCTGCCTCTGATCGCTTCCCACAACCATAAATAGCAAACAGTGGGGTATGGTGAGACCATTAACAGGCCAGTTTTGGGACAAACTGAGGGCCTTGTAAGATTTAGTTTTCTAATCTTGAACGTCCTCCTTCAGGCATTTAGGTCAAACTCCTTCCTACAAGTCTTCCTGTTTTGTGCTTGTTCGGCTGCCATCTCGGCGACTTACTGGATCAGACTTCCTCACTGGTGATTGTTAGGACACCTACATCACGTTCAGACTTATAAATCCCTCACTCTCTCATCAGTTCCAATCATTTTCCAGTTGATTCTATTGTATTTTGTAGGCAAATAATCATGTCACATGCAAAAACATCATTCTGCATATTTTAATACCATTTTTACACATGCTTTGATGAATCACTTCCTTCTGATTCTGGGTTTTTTGTCATTCAGACAAGGAATTTGCTCACTTCTATAAATTAAATACATTCACCCGTTTTCTTAAAAAACAAATAAACAAACACACACACACACACACACACACACACACACACACATACAAAAACATAATATTGTTGCCACCTTTCCAATTACTTCTGTCTCTCCCAACATTCCCTGGCTGGGACTGCCAAGGTGAAGATGATAATGGAGAGTGGATGGCTCTAGTTTTTTAAATCCTCACTGGGAGGATATGTTTTTAATTGATTTTAGAGAGAGCGCAAGGGAGAGAGAGAAATATTAATCGGCCTTACATACGCGCCCTGACCAAAGATCAAACCCACAAGCTAAGTGTGTGCCCTAACTGGGAATCGAACCTGCAACCTTTTGGTGTAGGGGACAATGCTCCAATCAACTGAGCCACCCAGCCAGGGCTGGCTTCTGGTTTTGATGGGAGTGTCTCAAAGTTAAGGGTGAGTTCAGCTTTTGATCCAAAATGGGAAAGAATATCTTGATAAAAAAATATAGTCCTGATTCACTAAGAATCTTGGGAATGAGTGATGAAGAGACATCACTGTGTGACTCTACAGTGTCCATGCAGGACATATATCATGGCTATCAGAGAAAATTGGGAGTTAGAATGAGATGAAATGAATACTTTGCTAGGATTATACCTCCAGGGTCCAATGGGATTTCCTCCCCTTTCTTTTGGACATTTTAATTAATTAATATATTTAGATGTGCACCTCCTCACAAAGAGAAATAAAATATATACTACCCAATTTTATGTACCTATTGCATAAATGTTACTTTATTTAAAATAATGCCCTTAGTGAGCGGGAAGAGGGAAGTTGATTGAGACCAGAGTACTAGGCACTGCTCTTGGCAATGACCTTGCTGAAATCTCATAGGAATCTGTTGAAACTGGGAGGAGAGTAAACAAGCACAAGGCGTTACACTCACACAATGGAATATTCCTCAGTCACAACAAGGAAGGAAATTCTGACACCTGCTGCAAAGTGATGGACCTTGAAAATATGCTAAGTGAAATAAGCAAGATGCAAAAGGAGAAATGCTTATAACTCCATTTATACAAGGTCCCTGGAATAGCCACATTCATAGAGATAATCGACTAGAACAGTGGTTCTCAACCTTCCTAATGCCGAGACCCTTTAATACAGTTCCTCATGTTGTGGTGACCCCCAACCATAAAATTATTTTCGTTGCTACTTCATAACGATAATTTTGCTACTGTTATGAATCGTAATGTAAATATCTGATATGCAGGATGTATTTTCATTGTTACAAATTGAACATAATTAAAGCATAGTGATTAATCACAAAAACAATATGTAATTATATGTGTTTTCCGATGGTCTTAGGCGACCCCTGTGAAAGGGTCGTTCGACCCCCAAAGGGGTCGCAACCCACAAGTTGAGAACCACTGGACTAGAAGTTATCGAGCTGGGGGAGGAAGAGCAGAGAGTGACTGCTACCAGGGACAGGGTTTCTTTTGGGGTGATAAAAATGGTCTAAAATTAATTGTGGTGCCCTGGCTGGTTTGGCTCAGTGGATAGAACGTCGGCCTGCGGACTGCAGGGTCCCAGGTTCGATTCCGGTGAAGGGCACATGCCCAGGTTGCGGGCTTGATCCCCTGAGGGGGATGTGCTGGAGGCAGCCAATTAATGCTTCTCTCTCATCATTGATGTTTCTCTCTTTCCCTTTCCCTTCCTCTCTGAAATCAATAAAGATATATTTAAAAAAGAATAATAAAATAAAATAAAATAAAATAAATTGTGGTGATGGTTGTGATATTGTACTAAAAGCCATTGCATGGAACATTTTAAATGGGCGAATTATATGGTGTGAGAATTATATCTCAATAAAGTAGTTTAAAAAATTAAAATAGGGAGGAGAAAGCCAAGGTCCCTGGGCCAGGCTGGTCTGGGCTGCCTGGCTGTGGAAGGAGGCTGTGGGGTCCTGGGCTAGTACAGGGCCGTGTGCTTCTTGGTACGTGACTTGGGACACTCACCGTGAACTCTCCCCTGAATGAGGACGGTGGGAGGGGGCACTGTGTGGCAAAGCAATCGTGTCTGGAAGGGGCTCAGGGACGCCGTGCCCCTTCTCCCTTCCCCACACCCCCCGGAAGACCACTCTGCACCTCCTGACAAAGCTGCTGCAACACCCCACAGAGCTGGACCCCGAGGCGGCCACAGCAGATCCCGTCACTTGCGCAGTGATTCTCGCCAATCCCAATGGGACAGAACAGAAATGCCACTGGTGGGCCCAGGCCTGCTGCCTAAGGAGGGCTCTGCAGGGCCATGTCACCACCATGTAGGGGGCACATCTGTGGGCATGGGCGCCCAGACTCCCTCCCTCTTACCTTGGAAGTCCCTCAGCCTCAGGGCGCGGGCCTCCACCACCTTCCTCTCCTCTTCAGCCTCGCTGAAGGGCCCTTCCTCGTCGTCCGGACAGCTGCGGGGAGGGGGACAGGCGGCTGAGAATGCTCAGGAGCTGACTGGCCTCGGAAACGGGCCCAAGAAGTTTATTCAGAACCAGCTGCTAAAGAGGATCTCATTTTGTGGTAGGGTTAGCTCGTCAACGTTGCAGGAGAACAAGGACAGGGAAGAGCAAGACCGCCATTAGCATGAACCTAATCTCAGTGCTGGGATACAACCAGCCACAGGTTTTATTATTTATTTGTTTATTTAAAATGCCTTGAAAGCCATGTCACTGCTTTTTAAATTTTTAAAATTTGATTGATTTTGAGAAAGACACACATCAATTTGTTGTCCCACTTACTTATGCATTCATTGGTTAATTTTTGTATGTGTCTTGACCAGGGTTCAAACCCGAAACCTTAGTGGATCAGGACGATGCTCTAACCAACTGAACTACTGGGCCAGGACCAGCCACGTTTTAAATGCCGGCCACAGCGGGAGGAAGAGACTGGGGACAGCTCTTCCTAGGGCCCTGCCCTGAACGGAGGCTGCAAGGCTAGCAGGGCTGAGGCGAGGACGGAGGGAGCTCCAAACAGGCTAAGACTTTGGGAGGTTTCCAGGCACCAAGAGAGGAAGCGGCAGGCTGCCTAGGTGTGGGGGCTGGGCCACCTTTTCCCATCTGTTGGGTGGACCAGGAGCCAGGCATCACACAGAACCACAGGGCTGGGGTCCGAGGTTCCCTGGCCCGAGGAGTAAGGACAGAATGCCATGATCTGCTTCAACAGGTCTGGCCCCAGATGGGGGTGGGGGCGGGGAGGTGGGTGTCCCACCAGAATGGAAGTCAGAGCTGCCTGGCTCCACGTCCCCTGGCGAGACACGCTGGGGCCTCTTTAGAGGAGTCGGAATGGTGGCATCTTTGAATAAAGGGGAGGAAAAAGCACAAGGTGGAGAGTGGAGAGGGGAAGCAAGGGTCTCTGTCCGCCTGTGGTTTCTGGTGCTCTCTTGGGCAGGTCAAGGTCACAGCCAAGGGCAAAATGGCCAGCGTGGAACACACAGGCCCTGCTCACCTCTCAACGGCCCTTCGGATGTGTGCCATCCAGGCATTTCTCTCCTCTTTGGAACTGGTGTAAATCTCGTACATCTCAGGCCCTTGCAGGGAGGCGCTGATCAGAAACATGGCTTTTTCCTCGTTGGCTACTTCCCTCACAATGAGCTTTTGTAATGAGATGACGGGGCGCTTCGAGTCCTACGTGGGTGGAACAAGGTGGGAGGGTCACCTTTTACCTACCGCAGGGTGCCCCACTTATTTCCAAACAATCCAAAGTAGAAATATTTTACCATCTGGGGAAAAAGACACTATTGCTATGAGATCCTTGTATCCTTTAATGCATCTGTTTAATGTGCTTAAACAAATGTGTTTTATAATCAGCTAGAGGCCCGGTACATGAATTTGTGCACGGGTGGGGTCCGGGGGGGCTATGGGTGGTTGGTCGGCTGGCCCCACCCCCTGGTTGAACTCCCAGTTGAGGGGACAATTTGCATATTAGCCTTTTATTATGTAGGATAACACATGCACACAGTACAAAACTAAAAAAAACAACAAAAAAGAAACAAAAAAACCAAAACAAAAAAACAAGAGCAGATAGTAACTACAACAACAAATAAATCTTCCTCCTGACCCTGGTCCCAAACACCCAGAGCCAACCAGTACTCCCAGCGAGCAGGTCCCGTAAGAAGATAGTAAAATACACATTTTCAGCTGGTTGTTTTGGGCTGAATGGTGTTCCCTCAAATTCATACATTGAAGCCATCACCCCCTGCACTCAGAACGTGACTGCATTTGGAGACGGGCCTTCGCGTGGGTGATTAAGTTAAATGAGGTCATTAAGGTGGGCCTGATCCAATCTGACTGGTGTCCCTATAAGAAGAGACAGACGCGCACAGAGGGACAACCATGCGGGGACACAGGGAGCAGACACCAAGCAGACTGCGGCATCGCATCACCCTCAAGCGAGGGCACCGACAGCACACACAGGTGTGCTGGAGTCAAGGCCAGACGACGGTTCCACAGAGCAGCCTGACCCCGTCTGCGTGCTGGGAAACCTGGGAGGCTTTCAAATCTGGGAAAGGTACATGGCTGTGAGGACACGCGTCACTGCGCTGGGGTGCCCTCTGCATCTGCACGTAGCTGTCCTGCTGGGTGATGACCGCCTGGGTGAGCCTGGAGGCCTGGCGGGGATCACGCCTCCCCTGCAGGGAGGTCTGTGCTGTTAGACCCTGAGGACGCGGGCCCTCCAGGTGAGCAGAGGAGGAAGCAAGTCCCGGGGGCTGTGGGCCGGGAGGGTGACTGGCATCCCAGCCCGACCCCCAGCCCCCCGGCTGTGCAGAGCCCACGGCAGGCGTGGCTCCCACAGCAAGGGTCTCCTGGGGCCAGCCTGCTGTGGGATCAACATGGTCACAACACAGGGCGTTGGCTGCCTGAGCGTGTTCTCAGCGACGAGCTGGAAAGTCCCTGGGAAGGGCAGAGGGGCTTTCCTGGCAAGGAGGCCGGGGCCTGTGAGGATCTGAGCGCTTTGACAGAAAGACACAGAAATGCACGAGCCCTTGCAGCCTCATCAGACCAACTAGACAGGACCCCTGTTCTGGGGAACTTCTACTCCTGCCTTCTGGAACCTTCTGGTCCTGGGAGGACTGGGGACAACACGTGACTTATAGATGGGCTTGTCTAGCCACCTCGCTCTGTGCTGTTCTCGTCTAGTTGTGGACGCAGCCCGGCCACCCCTCCACCCAGCGCCTTCTGCGCAGTCAGCAGCCCTTCGTGTGAAGAGAGGGACACATACCACAGAAGCAAAGACGTACTTCTGATCCTTTTCTTGTAGCAGCAACAGCACATCGGTCAAGAGGACGACAAGGACATCTAAGGGGAGAGGACAGAAACAATGCACGGGGTGGCATGGCCATGTGCGTCCTGCAGGGCAGCCAGGAGACAATGACCCTGAGACGGCCTTGGGCACCCTGGGAGGAGCCTGGGCCACTCTCAGCCTAGAGCCAGGATGCTTCTGCAGGAGCCTGAGGGTTCCTTTCGACCTCACGCCCCCCCCACCTGCTTGGGTGCCCATGTTTCTGTCGCTGCACTGCCGGGCCCTGTGCCCTGATGCCCCCTGTTGTAACGGTGCCTGCTGGGTCTGGTCTTCGAGGTTCTCTCACTATGATTTCTCAAATGTGAACTCCGCCCCCCTCCTTCTACCTGCCCCAGGCTACCTGAGACCTGGCTTCCTGCCTTCTCCTGCAGCAATGCACTCCCGTGGCCCGAGCCTCCTTCCCGGGGGCAGCAGGTGGGTGTCTTGTCTCTGTGGGTACCTCTCACAGCACCCGAGCACGTGGTACGATCCTGAGTGTAGTTCCGACACGAGCACTCATGCCCAGGAACACGGCTTTCTCAGGGAGAATCAGACACCCTCTCAACCCAGCCTCTGGCTTCCCTCAAAGCACGTACTACACTTTGCACTATGTTTCTGTTGACTGGTTTCTCTCTCTGCCCGCTGATGGGAGCCCCATAGGGCAGGGGGCCTTCTACCACCCACCTCAGGGCCTGGCACACGGGAGGCACTAAACCAGTGGTTCTCAACCTTCCTAATGCTGCGACCCTTTAATATAGTTCCTCACGTTGTGGTGACCCCCAACCATAAAATTATTTTTGTTGCTACTTCATAACTGTAATGTTTCTACTGTTATGAATCGTAATGTAAATATCTGATACGCAGGATGCATTTTCATTGTTCGCGACCCACAGGTTGAGAACCGCTGCAACTGTATCTACTGGACGCATGTCATGCAAAATACGAACAAACACATTTCATCGTTTGACCACCTGAAGATTTTGCCACTCCCTTTAGGATCTTTACAGATGCTGATGCCAGTGGACAGGCCAGGATGCTTCTAGAGGCTCATGAACCTCGAGCGTGAGATCACGCCATGAATTTTGAAAGCTGGGCTCAGAGCACACCCTTAGCGGTGACCGGGGTGCCTGGGGACACTGAGGTCTGTGTGGTGTTTTCTACCCAAACCAGGCTCTTTGGTGGCTGGGCCCACTGCAGGCGCACCCACGGCTTGTTTGGAAGTAACCTGGGCCTCACGAAGCTTTGGATTTCTGTTCAAACGTCTGTGAGTCCCATGCCCTCCTGGTGTGCATCCCACCATCTCAAACGTGGAGGGAGAGGGTGCTGGTGTGAGCATCTCATTCTCACTACACTCCTGGCTGCCTGTGCTCATCCCGACTCTGCACACAATCTCCCTTCAGCCACAAAGCAGCCAGACTGCAGTGGCTCTGGCCAGCGGCACCCACCAACCCCAAATGGTGCTCACTGACCCAGAGGGCACCCCCTACTCCAAGGTCGTGGCACCTCTCCAAGATGGCAGCACCAATTCAAGAAGGTGGTACCAAACCAAGAAGGTGCCACCGGTTGAAGACGGGAGCCACTACTCCTCGATGGCACCACCAATGCAGAGGGTGCCCACCCCCTAGGACGGTGCTCCCGACTCCAAAGCAGTGCCCAGCACTCCCAGAGCTGCTGCCACGCGCACGCGCCGGGCAGGGCTTCACCTTTCAGGCGCCCCGCTGTGGTCTTCCAGGCCAGCGTGCCTTCCAGGTGCAGCTGCCGCTGCAGCATGTCCTCCTTGCGGAAGGGCAGCCCGTTCTTGAGCTTGCTGGAGGACTTCAGGTCCATCCGCCCTGCGATCTCTCTGAGGCGCTGGCCTTTCTCGCACTCGCTGACCTGGGTGTCCACTTGTGAGATAACGTCTTTGATGAGGTTCAGGGCCTGGGTCAGGTCTTCGTAGTCCTTGGAGCCAGCTGCCACACACAGCAGAGTTAGTGCTTTCCTTCGTCTGCGTTCATGAACATGACAGAGGTGGACACACTACGGGGTCTGTGAGCTGCATTCCCTGAGGCCACTGCTTGGAGGACCCTCGAGAATCACCTCCCAACTTGAATTTCCCAAGACATCAATGCTTCTCCAAAATACATGCACTAGCCCAGCGCTGGGTTTTTGCCCAGACAGAGTGTCTGTTGAAGTCAGGTGCCCGGCCCTGGTAAGAGCAGCCCTGCACAGCTCGGCAGGCACTGCCTGGTCAACAGTCTCCCTGCACCCGCCATTGCCACGAGCTAGGGATATGGCTTTCATGGTGGGGAGACGTGGTCATTTCCCACGCTCAAATCCCCTGGAGCTGAGGGAGCATGGCCAGCACTGCCCTGGCCTTCTCCTCTGCCCTCCAGGTTGTAGGCAAGTCCCTCTCATGGCCCTGGCCCTGGACTCCGTACTCGTCTGGATCACTCAGGGTGACCTTAACAAGGGCACTTTCTCCCTCATTCATCCACTCCCCAGATGCCTGTGCCAGGGGCAGGGGTAACAGCAGGCAAATGAGACTCAGTGCCCATCTTTCTTTGTTGGAAACCCCCGCACCCAACACAGTGGATTCGCATGGTGGCACTCGGCTCATGATCACCACGCTCAGCTGAATCCAGAGAACCAGGGACAAATCCGAGGGGCACTTATCCAATCCACTGCCAAGAGGGGCAGGCAGACAGACCCCCAGCACCATGGGCAGGGCGGGAGGCGGCTGCGCACCTTCCGTGTTCTGAATGATGCGCTCCACCAGCACGGGGTACTTGGTTATGCGCTGAGTGACCAGAAGAATGCACTCCTGCACGCCAAGGCGTCTCACGATGGAAGAGCTGCCGATTTTCTATGAAATGGAAAGAAACCATGACACACTGACGTTTTATTCCTGCCAAATCAGTGAGTTTAACTGGATCGGATCCTGAGGCTGGGCGCTCCTTCCCCTTCTGGCTGGTGGGGACCTTTTCTCTGCACTTCACCGGATATTTAAAAGCAGGGAGCCCCTGCCGTTTGTGAAAAGGCAACAAAGGCCAAGACAGCCATGCCTGTTGTAAGAGGGCCCCCGAGAGACCAGCTGAGAAGAAACCAGACCCAGCCAGGGGCGGTTATGGGAACCACCTGGAGAGCTGCATGATGCACACACGCACCCTGCCTGGGATCCCAACCCTGACTGACGGCTGTTGGAACCTTCCAGAATGACTGGGCTGGGGCCTCCTGAACCGCTCCCTGCTGGCGTCTGATGCACACCTCTGGTAAGAGCCCAAGAAGTGGCCTTCAGAAGCCGTTCCTGGGTGGGGACTGAGAGCAGCTCTCCCGAGTGTACCAGCCCACCGTCCGCCTGCTTCAGAAATGCCAGCATTGCAGAGAGGACCGGGAGTCCCGGTGGGATGTGTGAGACTCATCAGAACCTGCCCACTTTCCAGGTGTTTCTAGCCATGACGTCGGGTGGCCTGTCCCACTGCTCAGCACAGATGAATTCAGGCCCTGAAGTGCCCTCTCCCTTTCATGTCTATCCACTAGTCCACTAGGATGGTAATGAAGTGACCATTAGTTAGAGAATGTCACCTCAGGGTACAGGTGGCAGGTGGCAGAACCCTTCTGGATCAGGTGGCAGGGGCTGCTGCAGAGCCACGCTGTACTTTCTAGAACATGGGAGGTGGGCCTTGCCCGACCCGGCTGACCCAGGCCGGGGACGTATTTTTAGTTCTGAGCTTGAGCGTTCACACACTGATAGGCAAAGATGGGTGTGGGTCATTCCACAGGCTATCAGGGAACAAACGGGGACCAGAGAAGGGAGGAGGCAAAGGTTTAGAGTAAGGCACACCTTGCATCAGTCGGAGTGTTTGAAGCCACAACAGGTGACTCTGGAGGGGGTGGATCCCAGGGAAGGGTGCCCCTTGAAACCACACTTGTGTCACCTCAACATTTGGAGAAGGACGGTCAGCGGGCTCTACGCTGGGGCATCTCAGGGCCACGCTGGTGTGTCGAGGAACAAAGCTCTAACTCTACTGTGCACCTGGGGATTCTCCAGAAGATTCCACTGACTTGTTCTGAATGTGTCATTAAGAATGAAATAACAACTTGAAAATCATTGATTTATAACAGGCACCTTAATCAAAGGATCTCCAAACAGCTCTGTGGGGCAAAACCTACAGCAAAGAGGATATGTTTTTAATTAAAATAATAGTTTTTTTTACCTTGATCAAGTTTTGAAATTTCTTATTTTGCTGCAGCAACAATTTGTAATGACTGACTGCTTCGTTGTGTCCACTACAAAAGACACCATATTTCTTTTTCATTCTCTCTCCATTTTCACCTGAAAACTGAAGAAAGACAGTGGAGATGTTAACCATCAGGGAAAGTTTTCTTCCAGCTCATCTGTTTTCTCCTAAAACAAATACTAAGTTCACTTGCAATTTAACTTTCTTCTCTAACACACCCTCAAACACAGCAATGCTTCATTACAGTTGTCTCACGGCAAGGCATAGAAAGGTAAAGTGCTCATGGGCTTTATGCCGTTATAGGTGCTGTAACAACTTCCTGAAATCTGAGAAGAAAAAATACATTTAAGCCAAAGAATGTTAGAAAAATTTAAAAGCAAAAGGGGTATCTTCTAATTAATTCTCATGAGCTGACTCAGATCCTGGAGCACTTTGAGGTCAGATGAGCGGTAACAAGACCCTCTGTCAATCTTGGCCAAGACTCAGAGGTTGACTCTGAAGTCAATTCAGGGTCAACACCCCCCTCCCCCATGAATGGCTTTGGGTAATCGATATGCTTCTAACAAAGAAACACAGCCACCAAGACAAAAAAAAAAAAATAAAGACCAGCCAATCAACCAAAGAAAAGACCAGAATGCATTGCTGGACAGTGATTGCAAAAGTGTGTTGCTATTTAGGTGTCTGTGGTATTAGACCATTAGCTGCACACACAGCAGGAAGGACCCCGGATCACTGTCTTCTAGAGCGGCAGGCTCTCAACCAATCGGGGGAAAGGGTTCCTGGGCCCAATTCCAATGTGGGGGTGGTCCCCTCCATAGTAATGATTCTCAGACAACAGCAGGGTCTGACACTGTCTACCTGGAGACAGCGTGAGATTCCACAGTTAAGGGTACAGTCCCTCAAAAGTATCCCTCCCCAGGACACCAGGTGTCACCCGAGCCCCTGACCAACTGGCTATAAACCAGAGGTTCCCACCATCCCCTTCTTGGGTTAGATGAATTTGCTAGAGTGGCTCACAGAACGGAGAGAGACATGGTACTTCTTAGATCACTGGTTTGTTATAAAGGATGTAACTCAGGAACAGCCAGATGGAAGAGATGCATGGGGCCAGGATGGGGAAAGGCACAGAGCTTCCGTGACCTGCCCAGGCACCACTCCCCAAATCTCCATGTGTTCACAGCCTGCAAGCTCTCCAAACCATACTGGGTTTTTATGGAGGCTTCACTACACAGTTACTATTGATTAACTCAATGACCACTATCAATTGATTCAACCTCTACCCCCTCTTCCCACCCAATGTTGGGGGTGGGACGAAATTCCAATCCTCTTATCAACGGTCGGGTCCCCTGGCAATCAGCTCCCATCCTTAGGCTCTTCCTAACAGTTACCTCATTCACAGACCAGACACCTTTATGCTCTCAGCACTCAGGAAACCCCAGGGTTGGGGAGCTGTGAGCCAGGAAGCTGGATGAAGACCACGTGTATTTCTTATGAATTACAATACTGTAGGGAGCCATGTTTTTGTGATTAGGAGGAACAGAGGGGGCGGGGCTTGTTCTGGCCTTGCCCACCTGCTGTACCAGGAGGTCCCCGATTTTCTGGATGATGTAATTCCGGTCGCTGCCCTCTTCCAGGGACTCCCGGCGGCGTTCCTTTAGCCGAGAGAGAAAGTGGCCATGCACCTCGAGCAGGTCGTCTGCACACGGGAAGAGGCGGCTGATGGCCTTGCTGCTGAACTGCAGCTCCTCCTGCAGGGCCCTGGAGTAGACCTTCAGCATGATCTTGAGCGTCCGCACGTGGTGCACCTCCGTCTGTATCAGCTCTGCGGAGACATGGACGACAGAACTTACCCAGAGTGGAGAGCACACCCTGGCTGGGCTCCTCTTGTGTCCCACGGGGGCACTGTGTGTACTGCCTGCCCAGCATGCACCAGGCTGACTTCTCAGCTCTCCACTCAAATCCTTGTCCTCATGGCCTTACTGCCCAGGGGCCAGGCCTTCCCGCCAGAGTCCTGCAGGGGTCCCAGCTTAAGGGAGCAGCGAGGGATGGAGTGACATCAGGACAGAGAGGACCCAAGATGTGTACTGGTCCTCAAATTCACAGGAGGGTGTTTTTGTTGTTGTTAATCCTACCCTGAGGATTTTTCGATTGATTCTTAGGGAGAGTAGAAGGGAGGGAGAGAGACAGAGAAAGAGAAATATTGATGTATGAGACACACATCTACTGGCTGCTTCCCGACCGGGGCTGGGGATTGAGCCTGCAACCGAGATAGTGCTCTTGACAGGAATCGAACCCAGGACCCTTCGGTCCTTGGGCTAATGCTCTCTATCCACTGAGCCAAATCAGCTGGGGCCATAGGAGGGTTTTGTGCCTAGAGTCGAACAAAGACATTTCAAGGCTGTTTAAGCCAGAAGATTGTTTGGATAAACACCACTCCTTGGGGTGTGAAACTCACACATTTGTGCATGTCAATGGCCAGACAGACTAAGCCACCTGGCCAGGGCAAGTGAGACTTGAATTCATTGTAAAAGGCAAAGAAAGATCAGGTTTTGTGTTAGAGCTTTTCTGATATTCAAGACAAGGCCTTATAGCTGTTCGAGACAAAACCAAGGTCAACAGGGCTGGGCCCCAGGTGTCCAGGGGGGGCCGGAGGAGGGCTGGAAGCAGTCTGTGTTTGCCCAGCAGTATAGATCAGGTGGCAACTGGCTGCCCAGATGGAAGAGGGGATCTAGGCTGGTCCCCTGTCCCTGTCCCTCTCTGCAGGATCTGTGGCCTGGCGCTGGACCCTGAGGGAAAGCACCCACCAAGGTTTTCCTCCACAGCCACACCCCTCCTTACTCTGGGCCAGGCAGGGAGCTCAGCGTGTAAAGGACGTGAGTGCCAGTGGACATTACCAAGTGGCACACGGGGGTCTCAGAGCTAGACCTGCTGTGTGGGATACAAAGGAAGAACGTTTCTGGAAACACCAGCATTTCCTCCCAGAATGCCATCGAGGAACAGCAAAGTGCCTCCTCAGGTGACACAATACTCATTCTTGGGGGATGGTTCCCATGAAGAGAGGACCATGAGAAGAACCAGTAACAGCCCTGGCTGGGCTGGCTCAGTTGGCTGGAGCATCATCCTGTAAACCTAAAGGTCGTGGGTACGATTCCTGTCAGGACACATCCCTAGGTGTGGGTTCAGTCCTCGGTTGGGGTGGTACGAGAGGCAACCGATCGATGCTTCTCTCTCCCACTGCTGTTTCTCTCCCTTTGGGCCTTTGTCACTCTGTTGAGAGGGGCTTGGAGGGCTGGGGCCCCGAGCACAGCTCCTGGCCTGGGAATGGCTCTGTGCCTTAGGAGCTGGAATTTTCATTGCAACCTACAACATCCCGTCTCAGGACAGTGGCTGCCCATGGCCCGGTTCTCTGACAGCCAGTGGGAAGGAGCGCCTACCAGTCACATGGGGAGGAAGGGACATGCTTCCCAAACACCCCAATCACAGCCACGCTCAGGCCTTTCTTCTCTCTCAGGGTCACCAACAAGGTAAGATGATCCTGACTCTTGGGGATGTTCCTGGCCACCTCTTCCCTGTCCTGGGGAGAGCAGTGAGTGGGTGAGAGTCTCAGGGGGCGTCAGCAGTGGAGCCCAGATTCCAGGTGGAAAAATTTGAAAAAAAGAAAAAAGGAAAGAAAAGAAGGAAATGCCAGTGTGGGGGCGTAGGATTTCTTACCATAAATCACATCCTGTCTCTTCGCCACCTCCTTCTTTTGTTCCTTTGCGTACGCCGGGTCCACAGACAGGCTCCAGGACTCGGCCTCGAACTCATGGGCATCCGATTCGATCTCACTCCTCAGTGAGGCAGTGTAGGGGTCTGGGGGAAGGGCGGGAGGCCACTGCTCAGCGCCTCAGCCTGACTGGCCTTCATCCCATGAACAAACTGACATGGGTCCCAGCATCCCCAGGGTGAGTGGGGACCACATGTCACCAGTGAAGGAACTGGGAAGACTGTACCTTCTACAAAAATGGACTCGGCATTCGAGGATGTAAGTGAAAGGGAGTCGTCAGCTGCCTGCTTAAATTTCAAAAACACAGAGTCGGCTTCATCCATCTCTCCTATGACTGGTCTAAAAAAAAATCATAAAAACAATTATTTCAAAATATTGAATTAAATATGCACACCCCGTCCTATGAAGGCAAATTAGACTGTTACTCAATCTGCTTAAATACGAGTGGAGAACTTTGTGGATTTTAATATGAGCCTTAACTTTGTCACAAGTCACTTTTGAAAATTAGAAGACTGTCAACACAACATCAGGACTTCTTGCAGCATAACAACCTTTAATGTTCAGACACAGTCAGAGTGCGGGTAAGTGTAAGCTTCCTTTACTGGCCAGTGGCGCCCTCGCCCCCAAATTCCTTCAAGCGAGAGCTCAGAGTTCGTGGACAAAGCCTCACTCCGCGGGGCGTGGAGGGAGACCCCTTCAGAGAAAGACCACCGGCTCCTTTCCCCACCATCCAACAAGGATCACACGAAGACACCTTTCAGCAGGAGGCCTTCTCCCCCAACACTGCTGAAAGCAGTATCAAATGAGCCACCGTGGAGTCCTGCAAACACTGTGGTGGGGCATTAATAACAGGACGCAACCTCCACGGCGACCTCAGTGGGACTTTAGCCTCGTCTTGAGTAAAGAAAGGGACCCGGACGAGGGACTTCGAGAGTACGAAGCAAAACCAGTTTTTAAAAAGGGAAAGCAGTGGCTCTGAAGCCAGCGTTCAGGGAACCTCACCTCCCGGCTGGGTCTCCCTTCAGAGAGGCTGCTGGAGGGTCCCCTGGGACTGCCACCCCCGAGCTCCCTCCCCGCTCCGCACCCACAGCAGAGAGGACCGCTTACCCGAGTCTTGCCCCTGTTCCCGCTTGGCTGGGTGCTGGCTGTGGACTCCCCTTCTGCGAGACGGTCATGCCGGCATTCCTGGAGAGGGCCAGGCTGCCGTCAGACAAGAGGGTGGGCCTCGGGGGCTCCTTCACGGATGCTGTGACGGAGGCAAAGACAGAGTTGGTGCTGAGGAAGTGGGCAGGGTAGTGGAGGCGGCCCGTCTGGAAGCCCTGCTCTGACTGTGGCCGCAGCATGGACAGGATCTTGGAGGTTAGCAGCTCATTATTTAGAAAGACATTCTCGCCCCATCTCTTAGGAAAGGAGCCATAGAAGGACAGCTCGGGGCGGTGCGGCGCACTGTCCCTGCCGCTGCCTTTGGAATGTGTGTTCCCCATGCTCGCGGTTGGGGCTCCCGGACTCTAGCAGTTTTATGCCTCCGTGAGATCCTTCTAGAAATGTGAAGTGGCGCCTGCTCTTACTGTATTGGCTGCAGCAGCGGCTCTGGAAGCAGGAAATTGGTCCCTACTGTGACCGTTTAGGGTGCAAATCGCGCCGAATTTTTCCTTTGGCAGAATAACAGCAACAAAGCATCTTCCCTCTCAGCGGGGAGTCAAGAGCAGAGAGCAGGTCTGTTCACTGTAGAGAAGCTCAGATCATGAAAAGGGAGCTCCGTGCTCGTGTGGCTGTGCTGACATCTCACACACACACACACACACACACACACACACACACACACACACACACACACTCACACACACACACTGAGGCTCAAAGACCACCACGGTTAGTGGCATGCACCGCAGTTCGTAAGAATTCTAGCAGAATCTAACCACCAAAGTAGACAGCAGGCTCTGATCCTATTCATAGGGTGACTGTAAACCAACCTAACATGCAACAGGGGACCAGAGGGCTGTCCACTCTCATCTGCTCATTAAGTAAGAGCTGAGCTATTAGGAAGCACCTACCCTGGTGATTACCTTCCCACTGATGGAAGCAACTCTTTGAGAACCAAACTATCATTAACTAGGCTGGTTTCCCTTCCTATTTAACAGGTGAACCATTTAACTCAAGTAGGCTGCCTGGTTCATTTATTCTCAGGTGAAAGCCACATTTGAAAGCTTTGCTCCAAGACCAACAGCAGCATAAGAAGAAATCTGCCTGGTGGCCCTCCCGACCTGGCTCTGGGTCCCCCACGCTCCCACCCATCAAGGTTTCTGGAAGAAAGTGGCTGGAGCTCTGGTCTCAGAAGCAGGGAGACTGTCACCTGGGGGTGGGCACAGGGCTGGCCCTAGAGGAAACTATTTCTTTCAGGAGCTTTGGGGGTGGGGCGGGGGGGGGGGCCTCGGCATGCTGGGTGAGTTTTAATTTTGGTGGAAATTTAGGGAGCTTGCAAGTGTGCAGGTGGGCATGTGTCCAGGGGAAATTTCTGGTAGAGGAGTAATGGAAAAGCTCGCAAACTGAAACTTCACATGCACAGAAAGCGTACTGTCCCACTACTCATTCTTTAACGAGCGCAGCATGGAGAGGATGCCACCTGGGCAGTGACCCCCAAACACAGTGACATCACCATCATCAGCGACTAGCAATAGCCATGAAATCGAGGCCTTCGGGGTCCAGGGCAGGCATTGCCCGCCATTTCTGCACCACATTAAACTCCACCCCGGCGATCAGGACCTTCTCGTACAAATATGAGACAGGTCCCGAAATGCATCCTTTGCCTCGAATCTTGGGAGGACTGACACATTGCTCCTGTGACCCCCAGTGTTGCCTGAAGTAGGATGGATTCTACCTTAATCAAATAGTCCACAGAAGAAAAACACTCTCTAAGAAGCACTGGCTCCAGAGGTTGTTCAAGGGTCAACTGTACTTATTTATTCTGATCAGAGTCTGCTTCCCCAACTGAATGGAGGACAGTGCCTCCTACGAAACAGGTCAAGGAATCACTTTTTTAAAAAAATATATATTTTACTGATTTTTTACAGAGAGGAAGGGAGAGAGATAGAAAGTTAGAAACATCGATGAGAGAGAAACATTGACCAGCTGCCTCCTGCACACCCCCTACTGGGGATGTGCCCACAACCCAGGTACATGCCCTTGACCAGAATCGAACCTGGGACCCTTCAGTCCGCAGGCTGACGCTCTATCCACCAAGCCAAACCAGCTAGGGCAAGGAATCACTTTTTCATGAAATGTTATTCAGTCATAAGAAGGAAGGACAGGAAAACCAAGATGGCGGCATAGGTAAACACCGGAGATTGCTGCCTCGCACAGCCACTTCAAAAATACAACTAAAAGACGAACGGACATCATCCAGAACCACAGGAAGGCTGGCTGAGTGGAAATTCCACAACTAGAAGGAAAGAGAAAAGCATACCGAGACTCAGAGGAGGTGCGGTGCGGAAGTAAAGTACAGAGGTATGGAGGCGCATGCGGAGAGGGCTGGCGGCTGAGAACACAGTTGTCTTTTTCAATCGGAAGGGAGTCTCAGGCTCCCGACTGCTCTGAACTCCAGTTCCGGGCGAGTCTCTGGGGACCCAGACTCATACGGGAGAAACTGGACTGTCTGGCATC